ATATATATATATATAACTGGGCAAACCTTATGGTTGTAAGGCAGTGAAGCATCAGTGCCAACAATGATGTTGCTGTCTTTGATGATGAGGATGATGATGATGATGTGTTTATCCCACGAGTAACCGCTTCTGGATGACTAGACACACGGAGAGTCAAATTTGAAAGAACTGAGTTCTTCCTTTGCGTTTTGAGAAGCACAACCTCATTTGGGTCTTGTATGCGGGTATCAGAGACGTAGCGCACATGAATTTTAAAGGAGTACAGGGTCTCAGCAAACATTGCCGTTGACAGTTCCCATGAAGAAGGCATATCGTTGATTTAGTCAACTGAATTACCCAGCAACGCTCGCTTGTGTGGTGGCGACGGGTTGGGGAGGGACACCGGGGAACAATGAACCGTGCGGACATGTGATACTTCTTAATTGTCCAAGACGAAAAAGGGGTTTGGTTGAAGTAGCCCAGCTTGAGTCTGACTAAGCTGGATTATGTGGCGCTTAGTTCAGGGACCCCGTCCATAGTACCTGACTCGAAAGCCTGGCCCATGAGGTAGCGGGCAGTAGTGTTTTTCGGGGACCCGACAACTCAATATTCTTCTCGGATGCAGAAGGCTGGCCCAACCTGAGGGCGCAATGGGTATTATGGTATCACTATTTATTCGGCCGTTCAAAGCATGTCACTTGGGCATCAAAAGTTTTTGGTTTCAAAATTATTTCGACCTTGTGGAATAATGCGCCAGCTGTTTGGCAGTTGGAATGTGTGACTTAGGGCCAACCTTTTCTAACCAGTCTTTCCTTGGAGGGAGGCGGTATTGATGCTTCCATAAAGATGGACATGTTAGTTGCCTTGAGGAAACACCTTACTGCCTTTACACTCCAGTCGCAAGGGACAGTACGACTTTACCTCCAGGTCGCTCCGTAATACGACTTCTCGCAGTACGGAGGTTCGCAGTTCTTCGCTGGGCTGCTCAGAGTTGGTCTTCCTGGCGTTGTAAACCTTTAAGAACCGAGTTCCACTCAGTATAGCGAGCGGGATTATGGCAGCACTGAAGACCGACCAACCCAAAGTAACGGCTCTAAGTTGGGGTGGGGAGCGAAAGAAGTAGTGAAGTCCGTCTCTCATTGATCCCATGAATATTTTAAGCCACGCTGATCTCTCCTGTTCGAAAAGTGAATTCGTCTCCGACCAGGTCACTGTACCTGGTGCAACTGACCCGATAAAGCAGTTTTCAAGGCTCAAATAATCGCGCATGTCACCCTAATGAGACCTTTTCTTGCACAAACGGCCTCGTTGTTCCTTCTAGTACAAGACTTTTTTTGTTTTATTGGTCTAGGATACAGTAACAGGCTAAAGTATGTAGCTGCAATTTCTCTCACAGTGATAACTTGACAATTCACGCATACCTTTCCATTGATAGTTTTATAGTTTTATTCACTTATTTGTGGTGTTCCATAGTCAACAAGAGAGGCTTTGTAGACGTCCTCGCCAATACCGGTTTTACTCGTGCGCTTTAGGTTCTTTGGAATTTGGTTATTTTTGCTGGGTACACGAACTAATGGCGTAACAGTTAACAATAGATGGCGTAGAGGTTGGTGCTTTCTGACTGATACCTGATATTTTTGTTTGTTTGTAGTGAGCGTTCAGGTTGCCGTTGGCCCGAAATGTGGCCGATTAGCCCGAAATATTTTTAATAGTTGCCGACAATGGCGCTATGTCCATTCCCGTTCATTAATTTCCGCGTTTTTTGTCTGGTTGACCGAACAGCCAGGCGAGATATCCTGCAGAACTTGGGACAGTTAGTCGTACTCGTCTGGAAAACTAACCGAGATAAATGGCCCTTTCCAGGACCCTTTTTTTGCGACGTAAACATCTGACCTGATGCAGCGATTTATTGTGTGGATACCTCCAGACTGAATCAACAATAATCGATGGTGACTAGCTGAAACCCTCGGTAACGTGGCCGTTTGGCATTCGGCTGACTGCTGGTAGCATACACCAGTTTGCGACGCTCCTCTGAGTTCTCACAGTAGTTAGTGTTGAGCTCTTCTGTTGTTCATCGCTGAACCTCGGACGCAGAAACCAAATGCACTGCCAGTTTCTGTACTACGGTATTATCTAGAGCCTTCAACAAATGAATAAAGTGTAGAAAGCTGGAGTACCATATTACTAGATGTCACATTGAGTTGCGAGGTGTCGTAAGTCGATCGAAAACATCAAAACTATATAAATTTGTCAAACACACTGGATAACTCGTTTGGAAGTCTATCGTCGAGGTTTGGTACAAAGTCTTACAGCAAAAGGCTTGGATGACACGTGCGTCAGATCGTGCAACTAAACGATTTAACGGCCTAAGGTAAAAACGCAGGTGATGCCCAATCAGCCTTAAATGGCTTCGGGGAGAATGTATTGGAAGACTGAGTGGCTCACATAATATACTCACCATCAGTAACTGCGGTATGGAAATCTTCCAGTGACATTGTCTCGTCCTCAGTTCTCTGAAAGAGGCCAGAGCGAAGCTAAAAGGAAGGAAGAAGGCCAATAGATAAGCGCGCATCCAGAAAGTATAGTTGCATCTGCTATAGGGTGAAAAAGTACGATATTGAAAAATTCCATCATCATCATCATCAATGACAGCAACATCAGTGTTGGCAGTGATGCTTCACTGGAAAATTATGTGTACGCCAACAATCAGGACACCATATGAAAATGGAACTTAGCCATACTTAGGAGAGGGGATACCTCAGAAGACTCGCCATTTGGACGACATGTGTGCAGAGATCAACACGTACGCAAACCACCGTTAAGTTATAAGGGGAACCACGTTTTTCACCAAGACTCATCCAGTTAGATTATTCATTGATCAGTAGATGAAGTGCATCACAAAAAGAACAAACAATCAAGGTATAACTCAAAAGAACTAAATAAAAACGGCTTGCAGGCTGAACAACTAATGAATTCACAACACTATCTCTCCAGTGAGTGACGTTTGACGTAGAAATTCCAGCCTCTCCAAATCCAGGTCTATAGAACATCCTCCTTAAGGGACGTTAACAAGAAGTTCCTACCGCCTTTAATGAGGTGTCCATGAGAGCAGATAACTGGAAGAGGGCCATTCTCAATTATATCATGAGACCATACTGTATCGTTCAGCTGTAACACCCCTCTGGTGCCTAGCCGCCATGCCACCCGAAAGAATCACGAGGACTGGAATACTGCCAGGTTGCCCAAGCCTAGACAGGGGAAGTCGAGAGGCAGAGGTCGGTTTCGAACCACGGACCTTCCGGTGAGCAAATTCGCGCTCTAGCCAATTGAGCCATCTGGCCCCTACTGTATATGAGTTGAACATTTCCAATCAAAGCTTATCAATATGAACAAATAACAGCATCATTCCATTAGACAGTAAATAAATCTGCCGGCTATCACTCAGGTTATTAAACAGTGAGTGAAACCACCGCCGTAAGACTGTGCTCAGGAGAAAAAAGAAAATGAAGGCGCAGGGTTCGGATCGCAATAAACTTTGATCCGCATGACACCAGCCGGATATGTAGGTAAAGGCAGCAGATATGGGTACCCAACAAAACAAGATTTTTTATCATTACATGACAATCCCTTGGATTCAGCCTTGAGTGTAAGCCTCGAACGAAATACTTTGACCAAACCATTTCTCTGATACCAGCATACAAGACCCAAGTGTGGTCGTGCGTCTCAAAAACACAAAGGACAAACTCAGCTCTCTCAACTTTGACTCTCCGTGTGTCTGGTCATTCAGAAGCGGTGACTCGTGGGGCATGCCGTGGGAGGTAAACGCACTTTCCTGGAGTGGATTCCGGTGAATAATCGTATTTGCGCCGTTTGGTTATCCAGCTGAGGAAGATGGGTTTCATCGAGGTCTGTCACGAACGCCCTGGTCGGCAAGAACTGAAACCGTCATCTGGGTCGCTGATATGATTCTCATCACTCACCACACCAGATGAGAACACTGGCACTTCACTGCGTACAGCCATATTTCTTTCAATAAATTTGACTGCTAAATCCAAAGAACTGGGACGCGGAGAAGGTCTAGCCTACCGTCCAACACTCAGTCAGACAATCTGAATCGAAAACGCCAGTATGAACACCATTGACACGGATTAGCTGGTACAGCCAGGTACAGGGAGGGACCCCATCCTGGGAAGGGAACAGCAACCGAACTTTTCGTAACATCCTCCATTCTCTACTAACATGAGCGTTCTTAACACATGACCCGGCAATCTTAACAGTACAGGGTACATTTTCAAGAGGAGCCCCGTCCGCTTCGCTTGAAAACACATCCCTTGATAACTTCATTCAGAATCGCCCGGTTCCAGCCGTCATCATCATCATGGACAATGTGACTTCAGTGTTAACACTGATCATCATCATCATCATCGACAGCACACTGACATCGGTGGCAGCCATATCTTGTAATGTCTCCAACTAGGCACAGTGAGGATCACGCGGTCCCCATCCTGAAGGCGAGTAGCACCGAAAGAACCCAAGCGTTTCGTGATCTCCTTCATACTCCTCTGCCAAGTCAAGGGTTGGTCACCTCTCTGTTTACGCCACTCCGAATTGGGCATGGAAAACAGCACTCTCTTCAGCAAAAGATGGTTCGGCATACGTAACACATGTCCCAACCAACTCAGCTTCTGGTGCTGGACACATTCTTCAATGGAAATACCCGTTACACAACCGAAAACACGCCTCCTACCCGCCTCGCTACAGATTCGCCAACACCAACCGAGACGGGCTATGGTTCTGAGACAACGATTGTCGAACACCTGAAGACGTCACAGTTCCGCTGCTCGAATAGGCCAAGTCTCACAGCCATACAACAAAACAGCCCGTACTGTAGCTTGATAAACACGTCCCTTCAGATTCAGGGATAAACCATTCTGACGCCATAGGTGTCTCAAGTTAGCAAACGCGGCCCGAACCTTGCAGATTCGTGC